TCCCACTGTGGGAGTGCACTGACCACCAGGGGACAGATCCTGTGTTGAGCATCTGCCCCTGGTGGTCAATGTGCGTCATTGCAACTGGTCAAAGGGTCATTCAGTTGTTCAGTCGTTTGGTTGCTTAGGCTTTTATATATATAGATACTGTAATAAAAGTTATGTGAGCCCTGGTCGTGGCTCAGTGGTTAGAGCATCAGCCCACCCACGGAAGGGTATTGGATTTAATTCCTAGTCAAGGGCACATACCTGGGTTGCAGTTCCCTCCCCACCCACAGTCAGAGCACCTACAAAAAGCATCCAGTCAATGTGTCTCTTTCACATCAATGTTTCTCTCTCCCTCTCTCTCTCCCCTCCACTCTGTCTGAAAAGCAATGGAAGAAATATCCTCAGGTGAGGATTTAAAAAAAAAAAGTTATGTGAATGTGGTCTATCTCTCTAAATATTTTATTGTACTGTAGTGACTCTTCTTGTGATGATGTGGGTGACAAAATGCCTACGTGAAGACATGAAGTGAGGTGAATGATGCAGGCATTGTATTGCATTAGACTACTTCTAATCTTATGACATGTCAGGAGAATCACCTGCTTTGGGTGATCCTGGATTATCAAGCCATGATAGTTTGATGGTTGGGTGTCAGGAGCAGAAGAAGATGATGATGAAGGGGATATTTTTGCGGGGAGAGGGGTATTGGTTTGTTTTGTGGGGGTTTTGACTAATGTCTTTTCAAAGAACAGTGTATTCAGAAGTTGGTGTCTTTTTCTTAACTCATCAAAGTGTTGCTTCAGAGGTTGTGATCTTTGGTGATCATACAGGTGATTTTAAAGATGTGCTTTAGCCCTAACTGGTTTGGCTCAGTGGATAGAGCGTCGGCCTGCGGACTGAAGGGTCCCAGGTTCGATTCCAGCCAAGGGCATGTACCTTGGTTGCGGGCACATTCCCAGTGGGGAGTGTGCAGGAGGCAGCTGATCGATGTTTCTCTCTCATCGATGTTTCTAACTCTCTATCCCTGTCCCTTCCTCTCTGTAAAAAAATTAATAAAATATATATTTTTAAAAAAAAGATGTGCTTTATCTGAGGATTGTGTTTCATAATTTTGTCCTTTAATATCTGCACAATTCAAAACACTTTGGCAAATTTCAATAATGCCCACATTGCTGATTCTGCTTCAGTTTTTCTTCTTTAGATAACAAGTTCTCTTTATGTTTTATTATTTTACTAGAGGCCTGGTGCACAAAAATTTGTGCACTGGCGGGGGGGTGGGGGAGTGTCCCTCAGCCCCACTTGTGCCCTCTCACAGTCTGGGACCCCTCGGGAAATAACGACCTGCTGGCTTAGGCCTGCTCCCGGCTGGCAGAGGGCAGGCCCAATCCCTAGGTGCAGCCCCTGGTCGGGCTCAAAGCAGGGCCGATTGGGGAGTTGGGGCGCCACCCCCTGTCATGCACAGAGCAGGGCAGATCGGGAGGTTGCAATGCACCCTCAGTCACGCTCAGGGTAGGTCCGATTGGGGGGTTGGGGCGCTGCCCCCTGTCACACTCAAGGCAGGGTGGATGGGGAGGTTGCAGCGCCACCCCCTGTCATGCACAGAGCAGGGCCGATCAGGGGGTTTTGGCGCTGCCCCCTGTCACGCTGATCCCTGTGCCGGGAGGCATATTACCCTTTTACTATATAGGATAGAGGCCTGGTGCACTGGTGGGGGCCGGCTGGTTTGCCCTGAAGGGTGTCCTGGATCAGGGTGGGGGTCCCCACTGGGGTGCCTGGCCAGCCTGGCTTAGGGGCTGAGGGCCGTTTTCAGGTGACTGAAGCTCCCAACCGCTCCTTTTATTCTTTTTTCTTTTTTTTTTATTCTGGGCCAGCTTTAGCTCTGAGGCCTCGGCTGCTGAAAGCCGGTTTCTGCCCTTTGTTTTTCCTTCTGTATTTGATACAATGTTGCGGTCAGGCTGGCTGAAGGCCGGCTGACTGAAAGCTGGTTTCTGGGGTTTTGTTTAGCTTCTACATTTGCAACATAGTGGCTTAGAGTTGCAGCTGAGAGGCCGGCAGCGGCAGGCAGGGAACGTTGGAGTCTGCCATCACTGGAGCAAGCAAGCCTTCCTGTTCGCTTCAGTGCATGGCTGCCGGCCGCCATCGTGGCTGACAGTTAATTTGCATAAGGATATGCTGATTAGCCAATGGGAAGGGTAGCGGTCGTACACTAATTACCATGTTTCTCTTTTATTAGTGTAGATGAGATGTACTGTAAGCCTACAATAACTAAAAATCCACGTGACA